ACATGTCCAAACCATCTCAGTCTGGCCTCTCTAACTTAATCTCCCAGTTGTTCAACCTGTGCTGCATCTCTGATGATCTCATTCCTAATCTTATCCATCCTTGTCACACCTAAGGAGAACCTCAACATCTTCTTTTCTGCCACTTCCAGTTCTTTCTCTTGTCTATTTGTCCATGTCTCTGTCTCCAGACCATACAACATAGCTGGTCTCACCACTGTCTTGTAAACTTTTCCTTTGACCTTTGCTGACATCCTTTTGTTGCAAATCACTCCTGAAACTTTTCTCCATCCATTCCATCCTGCCTGGACTCTTTTTCACCTCTTTACCACACTCCCCATTTTCCTGGACAGTGGACTCCAAGTACTTGAAGTCCTGCACCTTTGTGACCTCTGCTCCTTGTAGCCTCACTGTTCCACCGGCCTCCCTCTCATTCACAAATGTACTGTTTTACTACGACTGACTTTCATTCCTCTTTCAAGTGCATACCTCCACCTCTCCCAAGTTCTCTTCCATCTGTCCCCTGTTCTCACCACAGATCACAATGTCATCTGCAAACATCATAGTCCACAAGGATTCCTGCCTGACCTCATCTGTTAGTCAGTCCATCACCAAACAAGAAGGGGCTCTGAGCCTATCCTTGATGCAATCCCACCTTTTCCTTGAAGCCATCAGTCACTCCTACAGAAAATCTCAACATACTTCTCTGCAACTCCAGATTTCACAAAGACACAATGAAGCTATTTCTGACCCTCTGAACTTCACCATCAGTATCCTCAAAGCAAAGATGGCATCTGTGGTTCTCTTTCTTGGCATGAAACCAGCTCATAAAAAGTCACCTCATCTAAGTCTAGCTTAAGTCTAGTTTCCACAACTTTTTCCTAGATCCTCATCAGCTTAATTCCCCTTTAGTATCAACAATGCTATATATCACCCTTGTTCTTAAAACTGGACACCAGCCCACTTCTCCATTCCTCAGGCATTTCTCACCTTCAAATATGTCATTGAATATTTGAGTCAAAAACCTCACTGGCATCTCTCCTAGACTTGTTTCCAAATCTCCACTGCTATGTCATCAGGTCCTACTACCTTCTTCATTCTGTTCAGAGCTTTCCGAACTTCACCCTCACTAATCTTTCCCACTTCCTGGTCCACAGCTTCTATGACCTCTACTTTTCTTTCTTCTTCATTTTCTTCGTTCATTAGCTCCTCAAAGTACTCCTTCCATCTTACAATCCCGCTCTTCTCACTTGTTAGAACATTAGCATTCCTATCTTTAACAAGCCTGACCTGCTGCACATCCTTTTCAGCTTGATCCCTCTGTCTCACCAATCAGTACAAGTCTTTCTCGTCCTCTTTAGTGTCCAACCTCCCATATAATTCTTGATATGCCTTCTGCTTTGCCTTAGATATCTCCCTCTTTGCTCTGTATTGCATCTCCTTGTAGTCCTGTCTACTTTCTTCAAACAAACTTTGAATTTGTTTGAAATTAGCAATAAGTTGTAATAGCAGCACACCAGTATGGAGGAAAATGTCATCCAGCATCCAGTTGCCTCAGAGTTATCACTTCCAGATACTGAATGGAGAAGCTTCATCAAATCAGCGTCTGCATTCCACACTTCTTACTAACATTTACGGTACTTCCTTTTTTCCAGGAGCCAGAATAGACACACAAATAGCCCTGGGATGTATAAAACATCCAATTTGTGTGCGTGTGTGTGTGCAAGTGGGAGAGGGGTTATGGGTGTGGGTTTGCAAGCAGCTCTGTGAGAAAGGGCTTCCTCCCTTTGCTGTCAGATTTTGTTGGACCTCATGTGGCCTTTCTGGAATGTTAGCCTGCACACACAATAAACTCACTTCCACATCAGATGTCAGGTTGTAAAGACAGAAGCTTCCAGGGGTCAGAGAGCAATTATTTGATCTGTGCATTCATGCCACATATGAGGTGTTAGATAAATTGTTGAACACCTGAACTTGAGCACTAAGCATTTTTTTCTTTGTACTGAATGTGCAGCAGTTAATTAATAATAATAAACCAATTCATTATGACTTTTTGTAAGCCGGCTCATATTTTCCTTTAATTAGTGTACAATATTTTGATGATCTTTGTTAATTTGTGATTATTTAAAAAAAATTTAATTGTCTTACACATCCTACTTATGCAAAAAAGTATGCATTTGAGGAAAATTAGTGATCCTATAACATTTTTTAAATTCAGTTCAGCTAATAATCCTACTCTGACACAACCTTGACAGCATTCAGATCGCCTGACAGATATTTGTAAGTGCCAGATCTTGTCACTGATCTCTGTTTAAATTTATTTTTGGCTGCTTAGAAATGAGTCCTTCCCTGAAACTTCCAGAAACATACTGTTTTTTTATTTTTTTATATTGACTATTTAGAAGCTGTATTTTAAATATTTTATGATGATGCTTTATGCATAGTTTTTTTCCTGAATAAATTTATTCCATGAATTTAGCAAATAAGATTCTTGATCCTTATGTTAATCGTTCTGCAAATAATTTGCCACTTGAGGGTTGACATTTTTAGATTTAAGATATTTATAAATGCTGGAGTTTAAAACAGCACAATATTTAAGGATGAAGTTTTAACCACAAATTCAGCTACTTAGAAAAGATGAAATTCACAGGACTTCTTTATCACACACTGTTGAGGTCATTATAAAATAATGGCAACAAGAAAACATCTGGTTACCAAGGAGTCCCTGGTTGTCTGAAAACTAATTTTTATATTTTACTATATAAAGCATCCTCTACCTCACTAAAGCTCCACACCAAATCAAGAAACAGATGCATTATCCCCAGTGCTGAAGGTGCATTCTGCTCCACACCTGAAATACCCTATTTTCTGTCACATACATGTATCAGTAGTGCAGCATGATAAAATACCCCACTAAAACAGTGGTCCTCAGTCCTGGTCTTCAAGGGCCATTGTCATGCATGTTTAAGTTGTTGCCCTGCTGTTTAGAAGGTCTTCAAGAGTCTTCAGATGCCATTCATTTATTCACATCGTGTTGAAGTAGAAAAAAAACGTCTTAAACATGCAGGATAGTGGGTCTTAAGGATTAGGAT